AGACAACATTCCAGCAGAGGCACTAAAAACATACGTAGCGGTAATTGCAAGGATACTCCACATTCTCTTCAATAAGATTTGGGATGAGGAACAAGTACCAACAGACTGGAAAGAAGGACTTCTGGTCAAAATACTAAAGAAAGGCGATCTCAGCAACTGTGATAACTACAGCGGCATCACTCTTCTCTCAATGCCGGGAAAAGTTTTCAATGGGGTATTGTTAAACAGAATAAAGGACTCCGTAGACGCCCAACTTCGAGACCAACAAGCTGGATTCCGTAAGGATCGATCGTGTACAGACCAAATCGCAACACTAAGGATCATTGTGGAACAATCGATTGAATGGAATTCATCACTCTACATCAACTTCATTGACTACTGGAAAGCATTTGATGGCGTGGAGGGGACAAAACTATGGAGGCTTATTTGACACTAAGGAGTGCCTGAGAAGGTAGTCAATATCATACGGAATCCCAATTATGGACTAAACTGCAAAATCCTGCATGGATGACAGTTGACAAACTCGTTCGAAGTAAAGACCGGTGTCAGGCAAGGTTAATTACTCTCACTCTTTCTCCTGGTGATCGACTGGATCATAAAGACGTCAACATCTGTGGGGAAGCATGGGTTACAGTCGACATTTAGGATGCAGCTGGACGATCTAGAATTCGCAGATGATCTGGCTCTCCTATCGCACACGCAACAACAAATGCGGAAGACGATCAGTGTAGCAGCAGAGGTCTCAATGTACACAAAGGGAAAAGCAAGATTATCCGATACAACACAGCATGCACCAATCCAATCACAATTGACGGAGAAGCTTTGGAGGATGTAAAAACCTTTATATATTTGGGCAGCATCATTGATGAACACGGTGGATCTGATGCAGATGTGAAGGCGCGGATCTGCAAAGCAAGAGCAGCATATTTACAATTGAAGAACATCTGTAACGCAAAACAACTGTCAACCAACACCAAAGTCAGGATTTTCAATACAAATTTCAAGACAGTTCTATTGTATGGGGCGGAAACTTGGAGAACTACGAAAGCCATCATCCAGAAGATACAGGTGTTTAACAGCGGTCTTCACAAAATACGTAGGATCCGTTGGCCAGACACTAATAGCAACAACCTACTGTGGGAAAGAACAAACCAGATCCCAGCGGAGGAAGAAGCGTTGGGAGTGGATAGGACAAGCATTAAGGGAAGCACCCAACTGTGTTTTAAGGCAAGCCCTCACATGGAATCCTCAAGTCCAAAAGAAAAGTGGCAGACCAAAGTACACAGTACGTCGAAAAAAGGAGACAGGCATGAGAAAAATGAACAAAAATTAAATAGAACTGGAAAGGAAGGCCCAGGATAGTGTGGGTTGGAGAGTGCTGGTCGGCAGCCTATGCTCCATTGGAAGTAACAAGCGTAAGTGACTAAGTAAGTACATATATAACACTCCATTACATTTGATTTCCTCATTAACGCCTTTTTTATTTTAGATGAATTATTCTCATCATGCTTTTTGGTTCTATTATACATAATAAGAGGGACATGAATATGTATAGTTTAGTTATTTAACAATTATACGATAAAAATATACGCATAGTAGTGGTCCATAAATGGATCCCAAAAATTACCATTCATTATTCTCATCGGGATATAACAATTTTATAGCGTCTTTAGTGTACGAACTTTACTAATAGGAGATCTCATTTGGCTCTACTAACTAGATAACAAATAATGTAGATGGATAATCTCTACACTCTCGATAGTTAAATGCTTATTTGAAAAATCACTCGTTCATTATGAGTTCAGTCATTTTGAAAGTGTTTTCTGCACTGGAAAAAACATTTTTATCTGTGATCTTATGTCAATCGCTTTATCGGTTTATTCATCAATGTATAAATATAAATGCGTTAATAATCTGTCTTCAGTGGGTACTTGAAAAGTTGAGGTTAGTCGAAGCACTCAACTCGTTAAACGAAACCATATTCAGACTTTCACAGTACTATTAACCATCTGTGATACCATGAAAGTGCTTCCTCTAATCAAAGCATTTAAAAAAACCATAAACACTAAAATGTCAAAATAATATACTTGTTTCCTTAATCACCATGACAACAGGTCGAGAAAATTTTTGATTTTATCCAGTTATCTCAAAACATCTATATATACCCATATAAGTCAAGTTGAAATATGATCGCAAGCTAGCGTAATTTTATGTGTGTGTATGTGTGTGCAACTATGCAAGTAGCCATATCTGATAATTTATGTCCAATAATATAGCATTCTTGAGTAGTTTCTAAACAAAAGAACAAGCAGACCAAATGATGGACGTATGCAATCCATTATTTCAAGAAGACCAGTTGTGAAAAGTCTTTCCGCTAACTCGAACAGTTTAAGTGAAATTAAAAAGCTAGTCCTTTTCATTTCAAGTTTGGATCTCTGTGCAATATACAGTTGTATTCGGGAATTTTCTGATAAATCAATATTTCATCTTTTAACGTTGTACTTGGAATACTATTTCACCACTTTTATGCTCTTTCATATCATGCGGCTAATTATCATCAACTTGTATATTAAATGTTCCCAGAGGAAATATTCGTTTCCATACGGACTTTTATAAATACGTCGTGATATCCATCATGATCGTTGATTGAGAATATCTTCAAGAGCTGTCAATTTGTCCGTTGTATACTTTAGTGCATAGATTACGAAATCAGACTGATGTTCTACAGAGCAAACACATTAATTAGATTAGTGAGCTAGTAGCCAACAAAAACTACTGTTAAAAATCAGATTTCGATTTAAATATTTTGAACATTTGTTTCTAAAGAAAACAAGTTTATAATACGCTATTCATTAAATTCAAAAGAGCGATTTTGTTGATCAGTCCCCTCAGTGTATTTATTCAGTTAAGTAAAGAAAAATGAGTGTAAAATAAAATTCAGTGTCATTTCCGCATTCAGATAAATCCTTTGGTGTGTCTTCTTATAAAAATAAGGAAGAATAAAATATTTTACTATGTATCATTAAATCGATAAATTGGAGTTATCTATGGTAGATCATATCCTTTAGTATTCCGGTCTAAAACTACTTACAGGTGGATTGACTGAAGCGAGAAATAAAAGCGAAGAATAGAAATGAATTTATATTAAATTCATTAGTTAGAATGTTATGATATCATTAACTGGTAAAAATGGGCAATATAACATGCTTTATTCGCAAATACAATAGTGCCTTAGATACACAATTGATAGCTAGTGACATACAAGAATTACCAGCCTGAAAAATCCATAAACATTATTATTCAAACTACATCAACTTATCGAATAGTTAACTTTTATATACTTTATAATAACAATTTTTTTTATATTAAGTCATCAGGTGAAGTTATTTTGTTTACAGAAGCTTTTAGATTAGTTTAAAGAGCGAAACAACAATAAGCAAATTATCAGCAAACTCAACGATTTAAAATTCAAGATTTGTTTAGTTACCGATCCATATTTGCGTTCGGTCTGCAATTCAAATAAATTTGGTGTCAGATTACATTTAATATTGTATTTCAGAAACGTTTTAGAACTTATAAGCTTATGCAAGATTTCTAATAAAGAGATTAGTTTCATACTTTCAGTACTTAAAACTGGATTTTGAGCACATAATGTTGGGTTCATTATACGTAATACTAGCCGGAAGTTAACACACTTAAATTTCTTCCACCAACGTGATGAAGATTATTTGATTCAATTTATAGTATAAATTATATTGAATTAACAAATATATTCCTCTTGCGTTCAAGAGATGCAACAGAAATGGATAATTCGGCGGAATAAAAACATTTTTTGTTTGCCATGTTATACTGTTATTAAACAATAATATGAATGGTGACCGAGATTATATTACTGCAATTCTGGATACTTTAGGTGGAACTTTGATCTCTTAGTTGCATGGTTTAGTCGTGGAGCTTTCATTGTTCTTCTGAACGACACCATTAGCACAAACTTCAGGTGGAATTAAAGCATTTGAATTTCTCCACATATAACTCACAGCTTGTCCTGCAGACCTCGATCTCGATTAGTTAAAGGGCAACAACTTTTGACATTTTGATTTTTGAGCATAGCATAAATTACATAACGACTAAGCAACAACCGGTGTCTTTTCCTATCACATAAAATTGAGAGGAACGCCTCGCTGATTTTCTTGCACTGAGTAATGTATTTATTTAATAGACATAGTACTTACACGTATCCAGAGCTCATTCAGCGTGGGAATTTAAATAATAGATAGAACGTGAAAAATAGAATAATTAAAATATGTTAACTACGTAGTTACAACTAAATAGAAACTGACATTATTAAGTTGAATAAGTTTAAAGCAAAACACTTTTGCATTTTCCTTAACTGCATGTTATATTTCTCCGAATTATTTAATTATTGCTTAAGCATCAGTGCTGCTTGTAAGAATTGAAACTCAAAGAACTCTTTGATCATTTATATATTGCTTATTTTGTTCTTGGGGCATTTATAGAAAATGTACTATATTTTCATCAGAACTGCATGAATTTAGTTTGCTTTTCAGCTTACGTTTTTATACACTGCATAAGCGTTGCCTAATTCAGACGTTTATCATGCGTTTGTGTTACAGTTCAAAAATATGGTCTTGAACAATTTTGTGTCTATATTTCTGTCTATTTTCATCAGTTTCAATACATCAAAGACATTAGCAACTTTTATATTAAATTATTTCTATTAAGTGAATTGCAAGTAACAAGTAGAAAAATATTAAAAGCAGATAATTGAAGTTAAAATAACCAATTATAATAGTACGTTCTGTTAAATAAAAATAGGAGAATTGATGTGTTTGTTCTATATCACAGGCAGTTAAATCGTAAGCCATGTATTGTATAAGTTATAAATTATCACGTATATAATTATTGAGTTTCAGTCCTTCGTTTTCGCGAAGTAATATAATCTAATATTTCCTCTTTACTTTTAGGTCTTTGATACATAGTTATTGATCCAGATCAGCGTCTGTTATGAATTCGCCCTTATACTGAGAATGGCGAATTCCAAATGAATACTGTGGAGCAGATTGTGAATTCATGTGAACCTAAAACCAAGAAGAAATGACTATAAAGTTTTAAAAGTGAATAAATTTTAGAGTAAAAGTTTTAGAAAGTATATTATTGAGCTTGAAAAAATATATAAAGCGCCACACTCTATAAGAGATAAAACGACCTTCATCAGATGCATAACTAAGACAACTGTATGTGCTAAATAAAGAATGAATATAGTGTGATATCTTTTATATTCAACAGGATCAGATTTTAAGTAAATTCAGTAGACTTCACACTGAAAAATACCAAAATATTCTCACTAACTAAAAGCTTCAAATGAGATAACATTTGGTGAATATTTTACTTTAGAGTCATCGTTTTCCAAGATGTAAGATGTATAAGCCTTGAAAGCACTTCAATATTAAAAATTTAAAAATCCAGATATGATATATGTGGCATTAAAAACCTCTGTTTTCATATTTTAAGGCAGTTTCAAACTGCATACGAACTAAACAGTGTCTTAGTGCTTTACAAACAAGCTTTGTCGAACATTTATTAATGACCACTGTATTTTTACTACACTTTTATGAGGTTTGTCGGGTTTACTTAGACATTGCTGAATGTTAAGAAATGTTTGATGCACAGAAATATAAACCAATGAGTAAACCTTAATATACTTTTAGACATCATAGCCAAAAATAAGTTTATTTAGTCAAACTACTACTGACAATTGTATACCATTTAAGATGAAAATAGTTCAGTTAAATTATGCACAAAGTAAGTAACTACCAAAATTTTGTTGAATGGTGTGAAAGCTTACAGAACATACCCAACAGCCTCACTTTTATTATGATAAATAGTGTTGCGTGGTTACCGCAAATGAGATTTAGATAAACAAAAGTGTCGTTATTAGAAAGGTTTGATTTCAAGCCGTTGATATTTATTTTGACATAACACGTAAATTTAATTAAATGTTCCAGCATTTAAAAATGGCCATGTAACTTCAGTAAGCTAATCTAGCAGTAAATGTAGTTATCAGTTACTATATGCTATGACGGTCTGAAGAACCAAATCTAGATCAGCTTAATAGGCACAACGTTTTTTGTGTTGTAAAACTGGCTAGCTTCTTTTAAATCTGTTGTTGTATAAATTTGTCTGAGCATCACTTTTTGAAAAAAACAATGGCCAAAATTGCGTGAATCATTTCAAGAAGACTTATTACAGGGGTATTGTATGACCAAATGGAGCGATTAATTAATCCAAAGATCTTTTACCTAGGCGTTTAGAAAATGATTTTTCAGTCAAAAGTAGGTTATATCAAGCCAAAGTGTTTCCAAAAATTTTTAACTTAACGGTAACTTTTATCTTAGGAGATTGGATAACTACTTTAAGGTCATGTTTATAATGCTTCATATGAAGCTTAGATTTATATTCTATACCAATTGCTGAACAAACCTTCATTCACCTGCATTACGACTCTTGCACGAAACGTTTTGAACTTCGGTTTCAAGGTTTGTATTCATGGGATTAGCTTATCAAAACATATTTTGACTCACTGAAAAAATTATGGGCTATACTTGCCGGAATTTTCTCCAGTAACACGTGGGTAGATATGACGTTTTACTTACCCCAATTTAAATGGGACGATGCTGTGTTTTTCTACTAGCCACTGTCAACATTGAAGTATGGTATTGAAGCAGAAACTCTCACAACTGTTTGGAAATAATGCACTTTGGCAGTAAAACATAACATTATGGAATGCTAATATACCAAGCGTCAACTAACGGAATGAACAGATATTGAGACTTTGAGGAAATGGTATTGCTTGAGTACACTATAGTGTATTGTAAACATTGGAGTAAATTCTGGCTTACTATCACAATAAAGTAAGTATGCAACAGCGTTGTAGAAGTACACAAATAACAATCACAAACATTCCTGTGAAAAACATTGTACAAATGGAATAAAATACTCAGTCCACTGAAAACACGGAAAAGTAAACCAAGTTATCCTAACTAAATAAAAATGACAATCGTTATAATGACTCAAATAGGATACTAACCTGTCATATGCCTGCCAATCACACTAAGTTTGAATGTACAAAACATCCAAATAGGACCTTTAACCTTTATCTCTAGTAATCAAATATACTGGAGGGCAAAATTATTGTCCACTTCTATTTTTGTATACGTTACTTCAGACGTTACGTTTCTGAATCCACATTTAATCGGATTTACTGTTATACATAAAATTATATTACAAGTTGCAAATGGTCTCCTAATCCGGCCCATTCTGGACGGGTAAACCTTACCAAAACATGTACTTATCGTCTTGTTTGGTCATGGCAAACGAGTATTAGATTGTATACCAGTCAAACTAGATGGCTGTAAGTATCAATGTTTTATTTTGTTATAAATAGATGGCTAATCATTGCCATATCATAGAACCACTAAAAGAACAAAAGTTCAATGATAAATGAAGTAGCACACGAATTTATTATCATGTTAGAGAAGATATTCTTGGAAATATGCAGGGATAAGAAAAATTATATAAATAGATATATATATTTCAGAAGAATTGTTGAATTTAAGTACTTTTATTTCGGTAACTAACAGGTCTAGTATAAAATGCTACCAAGTCTGACGTTAGTACGTTTAATGGTTACGTTATCTACTAAAAACTGTGAGGTCTTGTTGAAACTAATACTTTGAATCTGATTAAATACATCAATGTTATTGGAATCAATGGCCTCAAAAAGTGGATTGGACAAAATTATTGACATGATAAGATGGAGAAAATATACAAGGTAAACATTCACCAAGCTGTCTTTTTAAGAATGGAATTCATGACACTAAAATATTGTGCTGAAAATTAACGTTTCATAAGTTTTATTCGGGAACGCAAAAGTATTTCATTAATAGAAAAATTAACATGGATATGTCGACAAAAATCTGAAATCAGATAAACAACTTATCCATCAGCCAATAAGAAGACTTGACAACTACAGTTTGAGACAAAAACATATGTCAATGAGACACCATTCATTACACAAACACAAGTCTATTTTTATTTTTTCCCTATCTTTAATTTTAAAACTCGACTTCAATGTTTGCAAAGGTTATACGAAAAATCTCACTCTTTCGGGATAGTAAGCGCCTGGACCTGGCTTCCTCGTAGTGTCGGTTGGCAGCTGATTTCTTCCTGTTACAGAATATTTAGGGGCAGCTTCTCGGTACAAGTTAAGATCAGTGATATTATATGCTCCAGCTCCAGGTGTCTACAGCAGTAATTTCCTTTCGGATAAACCTACCTCAGCAGCACCAAAAAGCTTTGTTCTGCTGGACAGCGAGTATGCTGGGGCTGATTGCTTTTGACTTCTAACTGTCTTTCCGAGCATAGGATCTATATTGTATCTATTCGGACCTACAATATCGATTTAGATTTATGAAAATGGTAAAAAACCTGGAACATCGTCCACCTTGAACTCCTTGTTTCTAGAGCTTAATGAGTACGCCGGGGCTTTACTAAAAACGAAGTGATCACTGTTTTCAGGAGTGTAGGCTCCTGGACCAGGATTTGAAAATATCATTGCTTCCTTCTGACGGCTATATAGTGAGTAGTGTGGTGTCCCATCTTTGCCATCACGTAGTATTTTCGAGTCAGGATAATAACACGGTCCTGGGCTACATTCACTGTTGAACTTTTCGTGTCGAATTCCGAAAGACCACTGTGCTCCACGGAGATGATTTGAACGAGGGTCGTGATTTGGAAAGCCAACCAAACTAGGAAGCGCATAACATGGTCCTGGGCTGCTATACATTGCGGCGATCGGACCACGAGGTCTAGTGTAGTTGTAAACCATCTTTCAAACACAAATGGTAATAAGTCCTTGTTACGAACGTGAGTGTTTTATAACTTGAAAAAAATTCGAAAGGCCACACGCTGTTATGGTTTCAGTCGGTCACCTTGAAAATTAGTATATTTAAACGCTCAATATTAAAAGCAACAAACATTTTGTCTTGTGAATAAGGCTGATCCAAATAACCGAACTACGTTTGGGCATAAGCAAATAAGCACGAAAATACATGATTTTGAGGATAAAGAAATGTTTTTGATACGGTATTGTTAGTGAAATCTATTAGCTGTTACCAGACCGCTCTAGGAGTTAGACTGTGGTAAGATCCTAACACGAATGATGTATAAGCTCTCGGATAATTGTGTTGATGTCAGACTTCGATCGAAGAGTTGCATTATGCGACGAAAATGTTGACGGTCTCAGAGTTTTGAAGTAATGACTTTCCTGGGTTAACAGCAAGTATGTAATATTAAGAGTTTGACACGCTTGCCATAGTTTAGAGGTATTTTCATTACTCGGCTAATGCAATCGTAGATTCTTGTGAGATGATCCAAAAGAGGTAAGAATGAAAGCGAAAATGCTAGATGAAAAAGCACTGGCTTCTTGTGTTACTTGTTTTCTTCGGGGTTATGTATGTCTGCTGCTGTGGAGGCTGTGGAATGTGTTTCTAACCTACATTGTTTGTACTAGCTTTCTGAAAAACGCCTATGACTCGAGGATTGTATGATGGCTGAGTCATATTTATTCTTTTAATAACTACTATTTTCACAGGAACTTGTAACCTTCAGCACATATAACTCTTACATTCATTTTATTGTGTTCCTGTGTTTTGTAAATGACGGATATCAGTACTATACCGATCAGTGTTTTCGTATGTGTGAGATAAAGTATTAAACTCTTTGGTTTTTGAGATTTTGGATTTAAGTTTTAGTAAAACATGCTGTCTGGTAGCCTATTTTGACATTTCGATGCATGTGGGTATTTTGTTTCTTATGTCAACTAGTCTTACCGTCTGCATACTGCACGAAGAGATATAGAAGTTTTTATATGGAGAATCAGGTGGTGATGTTTACATTTGTACGCAAGACTCATTGGGTTTAGAAGGTAAAGATTTAATATTGTCAGGTACTGAATCGTCAGTCACAGGGGTTACAGATTTTGACCTTTTAGTTGGCATAAAATCGCTTGAATTTCTACTTTACTAGTGTAACTTGTCATAATTTAATACTGGGTGACTAGAGAGCTCGGTTAATTAGGTAAATTACCTGAGTGTATAGTTATTATTAAGCATTGACCAGCAACAACCTACTGTGGGAGCAAACAAACCAGATTCTAGCGGAGGGAGAAATCAGGAATAAGCACTATATGCGGATAGGACAAGCATTGAGGTAAGCAACCAACTGCTTCACAAGACAAGCACTCACATGGAATCCTGAGGGCCAAAGGAAAGGAGGAAGACCAAAGAACACATTGCGTCGAGGAAAGGAGACACGCATGAGAAAAGTGAATGGAAATTGGTTAGAACTGGAAAGGAAGACCTAGGAAAGAGTGGGTTGTAGAATAATGGTCGGCTGCCTACGTCCAATCGGGAGTGACAGGCGTGAGTAAGTAAGAAAAGTATTAACCGAGGTAATATTTGGATCAGAGACTATGCGTATATAATGTATTTCAAATATAAGGTGTTCAGTTATGACATAGAAGAGTAACGATCAATGGAATAACTGTAATCCGAAGATAGAGACGCGTCAGTTTCAATTACTGGGAGCTTATATATCATTTGTGGTAAACGAATTCCAAGTTATGTATCTATTAACTAGTAAGTGTTCGTCAACACTATTTTCCAGGGGTATGATGTGCCTGACATAAAAGACAAGATGATAATCTCAATCTAATACAGTGTACAAAAGAACAAGTCGGAAAATTTCTAAAACACATGAAAGATGTTAACACATTCAAATTTTGTGGAACGAACATTATTGCGCCTACTTGGTGATTATTGACGACTAAGAGACCCTGAACGACTAATGTTCGACCCTCCATCTATACTTTTTTTGTTTACAACTATGTGAGAAGCGTTGTTCTTCACGGGTTCGACTATTCTTGAGTTTTACATCAGGTTCTTCGGGGAAGTAGCGCCTTATTATCCCTTCGACAAGATATCCTCAGATACAATCTGGATAAAAACAGCAGCTCAAAAGTTTGAAGGGCGCATAAAAAACTCTAATGAAATTGATTCTGATATGAACCAACATCTACGTTATCTACCTGGCAAGACCTTAATTTGATATATATTTTTTTATCAATGCAACTTCATAATAAACGACATCAACTTTAACGACCAGAAACTACTAACAGAGATAAGGTGGGAATTATTGTATTTTTCTGAGCTTGCTTTTGCAACGGAACTTCTCTGACTAGTTCATTTTCAGAAACCATCATTGTAAATTATCACATTCAATTTTATAACCGGTACACTTCTCTTCATAAAGTTAAATCGTACAGCGGCATAGCATCAACATCAACTGTCACTAGTAACACATGTTTAATCAAAGTCGAACCAAGAAACTCGGGAAAACTCAACGTTATCACGTGTTCACTTATATGGAACAGTCTTCTTTCGGAAATACACATAGTGGATAGATCACACATCTTTGAAAGATATCGTGATGAGGTATTTTCTTGCACTGATCTTCTAACACGTATGAAAATATATGCGCCTTACTCAAATAACATGGGTTTTCTACACGTTTAAGTGACATCAGAACCCAAGTTTCGTTTGCTTTTTGCTTATTATTCATTATAGTGTAAACTTCTAATTAGATGTAAGTCCCACTTTATTCTTACTCTGAAGTACATAGACAACCAACTGAACCTATCGGAACTCAAAAACTAACAACAGTTCATCCTATATACAAAAGGTCTGAAACGAATCACGAAACCATCAACTGTGAAGAAAAGACTTCCACTAAGCCTTCCTTGCCGTGAAACTATAACTCGTTTTAAAATTCCCATTGATGACTTGCTCTCCAAAAGTTGTCTGTGTCATCTATTAAACGGCAGTGCGATTACCAATGATTTATATAAACAACGTTGAGTATTTATTTAACGCAGCTGAACCGCTGAATGTTTGACGCAAATATCCGAAGTCCGCTGAGGTTTGTATTTATCCTTATCATAATCACTGATCTGCTAAAATTTAAGTCATTTTACACTTGCCGTTCCAGAATTTCTAAATAAAAAAGACGAAATCCTACATTGCACTTAACTTGTTCACAACTTATTTACAAGTCATACAAGTTTTCATTTGATGGTTTCTCTATGCTATCAGTCAGGACTTTCTTCGCACCACTGTAAATCATTAATTCATATCTTTTTGTTCTGCCATCAAATCTTTATGAAGTAATTATTAATTTTAAATTATGTGTGCTACATGTAACAATAATATATTTCTGACATAACAGGTCTACAAATTTTTACTATCATTATCATTAATTCACAACATGTATTAACAAAGAAGATGATACCCAATAGGGCCATTCAATGAAAATAAATAACAGTACATACGGGCAGGTGTAACAACAAATTAGTTAATAGGTCTATCTGTTAGTTTTTAACGATGAGTCAACAGTTGTCATGATCTGCATAAACCCACTTCTGACCCAAATTCGGCATTCAGTTGTTAGAACTGTGGTGCTGCTAAGTAACTATGCAGTCCAAATACTCGATTGATTCTAATTTCTTTTAATATAACTGTTGGATTGTGGTCTTTACATTGAAAAACGCGTACGTCGTGTTCAAAAATTCGTACATAAAGGAGCTACTTATATGCTTACTTACGCCTGCTGATACTCGTGGAGGAGCATAGGCCACTCACCAGCAATCTCCATCGAACCATATGCTGGGCAGTACTTTCCAGTTGCTGTTCTTCTGTTTGGTGTCTGCTTTCAATTCTGGACGCAGTGTGATTTTGGCCTTCCTCTTTGTCGATTTCCTACAGGATTAAAAGTTAGAACTTGCCTTTAGATGCAGTTTGATATTGGTCGTAATGTATATCCCGTTTATACTGCTAAGCATGGATTTATAAAATGTCACTTATATATGATTTGTCATCTAGAATCCCTTGACTACATAACCGAACTTAAGGATGGCAGGTCAATTACCTTTTCGTTTTACCTTAATCTACGAAAAACAATTGAGAAGGTCCCATACGAACTGCTGTACATGAAACAACGATCATATGTTATAGAAGCCTAGCAATCATGATGTTTGACACATTCTTAGACAGTTCAATACATTCGGTGAAAGTAAATTCACATATGTTCAGAATTTTTTTCTATTGCCATTATGATCGTACTGAATAGTACAAATGCTCCATCAACATTTGCACTATATTTTATCATTACATGATCATACGACAAACGCGATAAACAAATCAAACCATTGAAACTCTGTACTGGGAATTGAAGGAGGTACTATGACGCCTCATCATGGAAGCCGAGATTCTTCGGTAGTCACGAGGCCGATGCTCCTCCTAACAACCACAGCAACAATTAACATAAATACACGGAATGCTCTGACAGTGTGGGAGAGCCAACCAAGGAGCTACGGAAATGAGAAGATGCAAACTGACAGTTCTCGGAATAAGTGAAACCCATTGCACCCAAGAAGAACCAAGAAGAAAATGCTCCGCACACTCAGTGAGTTGCTCTGATGCTGTCCAAAGAAGCATGTAAAGGACTCATTGCATGGGAACGAGAATGATGAGAGATTTGTAAATTTATGTGCATTCAACAAAATGGTTAAAGGGGTATTAATATTCCCACACAATGCTATATAGGTCATACCGGATCACACTGTAGAAAATCGGATCAGTCATGTTTGTATCGCTAAAAATGACAGCATTTAACAACAGCTGAACAACAATAGAAAACGTCAAGGCACAAGCTGAACACACTGAAGAAAACAAGCAAGTGAAGACGAGCGTTGGAGCTGATAGGCAGAAATAC